CACTAGTTTAGTATGGGTGAGTGCCGTTTGTCTTGTATGGTTTTGGGTAGTTAGTGGAGGTTAGCTAGGGTGTATGAAGACGCCGAAGACCGTGTGTTTTGGGTTTTCTTTTGTAGTTAGGTCAGCTTTCCCTCACTTTCTAAGCCAGCTCCATTTTGTTTGTAATTTTCTTTTCTTTGGCACCACTCTAGTTCCCTTACCCTGTGTGTAATTGTGTCCTATTTTGTACCAGTCACTTATTCACCTTAAAATAATCACCAACCCTTGTTATCACGCTTCCTAGTGCCTCACCAAAACCCACCTGCATCCAAAAATTATCCTAAATGTTACCCCCTACCCCTAAACCCTTGGGGTTGTAACACCTTGCATACAAGGTTGAGAATGTATGTACAATACTGTATGTGTATTGACTATTAATGTGTGACAGTTTGCGCTTATGATGTTAGAGATTATTGGCATATATTCTGACTATAAAGTATGTAGCAATTTTGAGAATAACTGGGCATTATATAAGAATTCTTTATGAATACCAACTGGAAATGTGCATGTTTCGTGGTATATTAAGAAGGTGCAGTACTGTGAATGATGAATATGACTTGTTTAATGTGAAAAGGCTATGTTTGTCAGAGTTTAAGTTATGGACTGGCTAAGTAAACTTATGTCTATTGAAAAAAATATTCATGGTAACAGTAAGTGACAAATGTTATTTTCTGTATATGAATATTATTTGTGTGTTTTGTGGAATTCATAGCCTGATAGCTTTCAATAAAATTATTTAAATTGTAGGTTATATATATAATTGCAAATGTTGCCTACATCTAGTTTTAATGACTATGGATTCAAAAAACCTATAACCTTCAAGACATATTGCAGAAAAGTGTCTGGTCCTGTGTCTACTGCAAATGTTTCACTTTCAACTTCTAAAGAAGTGCCTTAGCATTTGGCACGAGCTTTTGAAATAAAGAATGCATAGTAGCTTTTTATAAGGAGATGTTTAGATGACATTATTAGTGATATTATAATACACATTGAATGATATGTAATGATAAAATGTGAACTAGTGCTTTGTATGTAGCTAAATACATTTCACAAGAAAATGTTCTTAACTTAGATTCTTTAATCTTGCAATTCCTGCACTTCACCTCAGGCACAAAAACAGGCACTTTGTTATATCAAATAGTATAAAGCAACTAATCATTTTACGGTAAAAGATGAAAGTGCTATAAATTTACTGTCACTTATAATTTAAATGTCAAGGAAGCTGTATAAAACTGAACATTCCTGAAGGCCACGATTAAAAACAGAATTAAAAATGTTCCAACTATATGTACTGCCGCAATGATGTATTTTCACATAAATGCTGGTAAATGGAAAAGCAAAATTTATTTTCTATTGCTAACCAAGGACACATTAAGATGAAGCAGGATTCCATCCTATAAAATGTAACTTCAGTTATACACTATAGCAGATCTATTGATGTTTAGCCAGCAGGGCTTGTACTGGCATTTTCCCCTGGTGATGTTCAGGGTACAGAATGAGGAAATAAAAAAAACCCTTCCATGTTGCTAACCCAAAAATGTCAGTATGATAGACGTAGAACATAGAAAGACAAATCAAAGTGGGAAAGTGGGGAATAATGCCTAGAAATAGTAGGTATTTGCATGACCCTGCACCTGATCTAACAGCTGAGTTTTCTTTAGTGTCTGTTCTGAATTCATATATATAGATTTGTCCTTGAAGACAATTAGAGTCACCATTTAATGCTAGACAAGGTTTTTTTTATTCATAGGTTTCACAAGACAGTACCTTCAGCGATATATTTATTAATATATTATACAATGGCCATGGCATCCAGAAAGGTTATGAAAAGTTTTTTTTTTAATTTAAAAAGAAAAACAGTCCACCTTTTAAGAATATTGTTTGTTCAAACATCCTTTAGTGAGGTGATACTTTCCAACATTGACGTCGCTGCTTCTGGGGACTGGGAGTGTCAGGTCTCCAGCTCTCGAGGAAACAGCACAAAGATGATGGAGATTGTAGTCCTGGAGATGTCGGCACCATACTGCCCTGCTGAGCGGGTTACTAACAACAAAGGAGACTTTCGGTAAGCATGTGCAGACGACCATCTCATTGAAAAGAAGCTCAATAGATTTAAACTGTCCCATATTAACCATCCTTGGATACGGCTTCCAAGGTCCTTAATTTAAACAGTCATTAACATCTACAGTATGCAATTATTTTAAAAATGTTAGGAAAATGTCTCCTAAAAAATTCTACCAAATCTCCTTAATGACCATACTCTCCGAAGCATTTATAATGTTTTCACTGTTTACTGCACAGTAACATGGCACTGAACAGGACTGTTTTGTTTTCAAAATAGAGAGCAGTAATGATGTGGAAAATTAGTCCTCTTTGTCTAGGAAAGTTGGTGTCATAAATAAGCAACATTCTTACAATTCTGGAAGTAAAAGCTATAGACATGCACAGAACATGGTAAAGCAATGTTAAAGGTATTTTAAATCTCACAAAGGTAAATTATTTAAATTATGAAAATGTTTACTTTTGTTAAATCTTGTTGCTATTTTGTATTCAGGTCAAATTTAGTTGTTAAATATGCTTACAGTATATGTATTTGCTTGCATATACACAATGTATACTCTACATGCTTTTAGAGTTCTTTGGAATTTGTATTTTGTGTTTATTTTGTTAGGAGAGCCATTCTCAAAGTATTTCTTGTTTCTGTTATTATTGTTCCGCCCTGGTTTAACAGGTCAATGGCACAGATTACATAATAAGCAAAGGAAGCATAAAGCAGATCAGAGATTTCCACTTCCACAGGGCTGTTGTACTCACAGATTTGTGAACGTGAATTAAATATTAGGATTAAAACCATATGTGATAAAAAGTTTTTTTGAGTGTTGCAAGGAACCTAATAGTCTTTTATTCTGGATTATTTTTTAATGAATGTTATTGCTATTAAGTGCATATCTTTCTATTCTGGTAGGTGGCCAAAGACTCTGGCTGGAATAATCGCATTCTTGCCCTGCATACAGTATCCATTTGGCTCCAGCTCATACTCTAGAAGTTTGAAAGAGAAGAAATCGTTGCGGAGGTGTGACAGAACAGGACGTTGGGCTGAAGGGGATTACTCACAATGCCCCTATGCCAGTGAAGTAACCCGAGTGCTCCATGAATTTAGCCAGGTACTGTACATAAACTTTTCAGACATTAATTTGTAAATTTTCAAGCATCTTTGTTTTTCGTGAAAATCACTTACTTGAAACCAAAAACCACACCACTTGGGTAATCAGTTTCTCACTTCATATTATTCACTTAGCTTTAGGCCTGCATCTAATAATGTTCACCAACATAACTGCAGGCCTTTAGCTTCTCTTGAATCAACTTTCATTATGTCTGATGACTTTGTAATTGGCAACCATCTCACAGTTTGACCTGTGACACGGTCTTTTCCATCCCATTATCTTTTACGTTTTGATATTCGCAGTGACATGCTGCATTTCACACAATATTGGAGCATAGTTTTTTAGGGATGACACACTGGAGACTGTAAAGTTAAGTTCTTCATCTACTGAAAGTACAAGATCCCTGAGAAGAATGCTTCAAATTCAAGTGGTAAAATGTAGATGTTTAACAATTTCTGTCATGTGATATGTTCTATATTGTATTTAGTAATACATCCAAACTGATATTCCAGGAAGTGTGATGAGCTGCCATCATGAGTCCGTCTTTATCTCCAAAATGATGGCAGCTAACAATAGAAACTGAGGGTAACTTGAAGTATTGACTTCACGATCATTGCAAGAATGCCTTAGTGAAATTTGTAACAGAAAATATACAAATTTCATCCAAATTAGAGATTTGGCTCAAGTGGACAGTGTTCCACATGTCATATTTGAAGCGGACTGACACTTACACAATAGGAAAGATACAGTACATCTTCAAGATAAGAATAGAACATATACCAAGTGCAGAAAACACTTATAGGTTATCAGATGTTTCTGTTGGTATTTTGGGTGTGTTTTAGAAGAGATAGTGTACATTGTTTGCAAAACACAGTATTTTCATATGTCAGACTATGCCCTCATCAGTCAGATTGTCATATCAAGTTGAGCTCCATTGATTTACAGTAATACTACCGTTTTAAAGTGATTGCACTTTAATTTCAGATGCCAATCAATGCCACCAACGCCCGTGCCTCTGCACAGCAGCTCTCAGCTTATACAAGTGGAGCAGCACACTTTGTGGACATGATGGATGTTATCTTTGTGGCTCGTATTCTTGAGAAGCTGATTGGTTATGTGGGCCAGATCAAAGATGTATGGTATTTTAATCCCTTTTGAGATAATTTAGTGTTTTCACTCATTGCTTCTTCTATTTGTATTTTTATTTTACAAAGTATTTTACCACATATGGCTCGTGAAATAAAGTTGTTTGGGGTATTTTTTCTGCAGTTCATCTGTGGTTCAGATGAAAAGCACATATGCTTAGATTTTGTATATTTTACCCTGGAAAGACTCCAGACTTTATTTTAAAATTTTAGGTTGCATGTGCTAATTTTAGGATTGTCCATCAGTGCAGAGATCTAGTAACTTACAATTTAGGGAAACAGTATATATTGTTAACAGTTATTTTTGGTTTGGCATTATTTGTTCCTGTATACATTAGATGTTTTTAAACTTTTTAAATGCTGCTTCTGCAAAGTCCTGAATGCCAAAAATAGGCTTCCCTCCTGTAGTTTCAGATTCTAAATGGTTTTAATTAACCAAAGGGAATAATGTAGTGTTCGCTCAAAAAAGCAGCCATGAGCTCTTGCTGAAAAAGGCTGTTTATATTACACTCATGACATAGGAAGTAAGCTTTCTTAACCTGGTACATTCATGTTTGTTTTGGATATATTTGAAAAGACTGCAAAGCTGCATTTCTTCACAAATGGTCAGGAGCCACAGAAACCTGGAGGACAGATAAAGGAAGCAGATTTTATGCTAAATTCTGCACAGTTTTTTTTTGCAAAAGAGAAAGCAAACAAAATCTTATTTTGTGTTAAGAAGGGCTGAAGGCTTTGGAAATGTTTTCTTTCAAAATAAAGAGATGTATAAATATAAGCATTTTTAAGTATCTTTAAATAAATATTTCTTCTGGAAATGCCTGCTGACAGCAATTTTCTTCAAAGTCATAAAACAAATGTGTGAATTATTTTGGATGTGTATTGTAACAAGACATACAGTATGCTAGTACTGTATATGCTCTATTTGCATTTAATGCGGCTGAAATATGCCTGGATTCTGTGGAAGGCACTGACGTACCATGTTTAAACCATTTTCTTAAAAATTAATTATGAGGTATCAAACACTGTATCTAAATTAAATCTTAATAAAAATGATTGTCCTTGCATAATCATGCAAGACAAAAACAGCATAAAATGTAATGTATTTTAATGTCAACCCCTTTGTTTTGCAGCTAGAAGACTATATATCGGATATTGCTAGTAATATGATGTTCGTGGATGAGCACATATTATGGATGGCACAGAATGAAGCAAAGGCTTGCACTCGTATTGTACAAAGTGTGGAAAAAATTGCAGATCTGGTCCTTACTAGCAATACACAGGTTATTTCAAAGGTATATTAATTACCACTGATCTTTTATCATGCCATTCTTTTCTTTTTCTCTCTGTCGCAAAGCACCAAGTTTTGAAATCTGCCTCGAAAGCAATGTTTTATGCATACACCACTGATTTTGAATGGAGTCAGAAATCCTTTAGGAAAAAGTAAAATAAAACATTACTTTTGGGACCAGAAGGCAAGATTGATAAAATGTAGACATATGGGTAAAGGGCTATAAAATGCAGTTTTGCATTTATTTTTTACCAGATGTTACCTAGAGTGTTTGTTTTCTCAAAAGGCTACATAATGAGAGGGGACATTTTATAGTGTCAATTAGAATATAACTCTTCTAATGTAAGGGGGGTTGTATTATTAATGAATGATTATTCATTTGTAGATTCTCTATTTAAAACAAAGAACAGGAGTTGATATCTTTTGATATTCCCCTCTTTGTCTTCATAGCTTTTGCAAGAAAAATAAAGAAATATTTTTTTTGCAATTGCAAGCAAATAATATTAAAATACTAAACTTCAAGCAATTTAAAGGAGATTTCTAAATAGTTAAACCACTCATTTTTTAGTTACTAAATTATTTTTAGTGGGAATTCTACACAGTTTACAATCCTTGTAATATTTGTTTTAGCATCGGCTTATAGTAAACAATTAATTTAAAAAAAAATAGAAACATTTTAATTAGATACATCAATGCACCAAAAAAAACATCACTCTATGCACGTGTTTCTGGATATAGATTTTTGGTTGATTTTGGTGTTGTGTGGGTTAGTATTTGTACATAAGCACTAAATCACCTTAGCAGTGAGTGAACCAGGAGCAGCTGATGAGGTGATTTAGCAAGTTGATAGTCAGCGTTGGTGAAGATCAAGAAAGAAAAACACTAAAAAGTGTCAGTATGCCAAGGTCATCAAGAGAATACCTCCTTTGTTTAATCAAGGGAGTTAATCAAGATGGGATGATATGTGACATCTAGGACACAGAAAGGACTGAAAAGACACATGCTTGTCCAGGCTCAGCAAGAGGAATGGGACAGTCGTGCAAGACAACATCAGTGCCCTTGCGCAAAGCATGCATCGCACATTTAAAGATCGTGTTGTCAAGGTGGCCCCACACTACTTATCTGTGATTCTCACAGCAGACACTCTGTTCATCAGCTTAGTTGATTAATGTTAATCAGGATAAGTTTACCTTTATCAGTGTCAGTACACTACAAACGATTTTCATTTTCTTTATGATAACTAAGTGAATTTGTTGCAGTTGTAAGTGATGAGTTTCTTTTATTGCTCAGTATACTGCCTTTTCCTTAGCACAATAGTAGGTTGCTTTCAATGCCATTGAACTAGGCTGCTTTATCAAAACATACTCATCAGACAAACGTCTGTGTCTATTAATTAACGTTTAACATCTTAGGCTTCTGCTGCATTATCACATGTGAGCTCTGACAAAGGTTTTTTTATTGTATAATGTATGCCTTCTTCTTTACTTGTAATCAAGTGAGTTTGAGCTACTGTGTAGTTTGCCTTATTTTACTGCACTATGGAGAATCGGGTTATGTATTAATGTATTCATTTTAAATGCTAATTTGCAGTTGAATGTATTAGTACTTGCTTCATTAGACAATTCCCAATGGTAACCTTAAAGCATATAACAATTTTTCTTTTTCCATTAAGTGCAAATATTACCTGTTTCAACAGAATACAAAACTGAGCAGTTTTGTTCATGTAATTAGCATGAACTGAACTGGTCATTAAGGATAAACTACATTCAAAAGCAATGACAAGTGCTCTTTCATTGGCCAAATAAAGAAGGTGAGGGAGAGCATGAAATAAGTTTTCTTTTTTGTCATTGATAAAGGCCTTGTTTTCCTCTCATGTTTTCCCAAGGTTTCTTCTAATATAGCTCTGGAGGCCTTCATGATCAAGCCTGCGAGCTTCACAGGCATGACGTGCATCGCATTCCAGAAAGCGCCTCCATCTTCAGACAGGGCAGTGGCCCATGATGTGGGCAGGCAGGACTGGGAGGCAGGCTATGGGGCAGAATCACTGCTGAATTTCAAATGCAACACAGCCAACCTCAGCAGTTCTCTGGTGAATTTCCCAGTGAAGGTAGGGGTAAATCTATGCTAAATGAAAAATGTCAAGGCTCTTTATATTTAACTACATCTGACAGTTTAAAACAGCAGACTAATTGCAGTCAGCTACTGAATATATCCAAAATAACTGTACCCTGATTTTTTTTTAAATATTTACCGTGGAGTAACAAAATCCCAGGGTTTGCTTGGGCTGCATAGTTTACTTACATAGTTGTTAAGTAAAGAAAGTCACTGGAAGGAGTGGTAATTTTATTAGTTTGTATTTTAATCTGCTTCAAACTTTCTTAGTTTTTCAGATGGTATAAGTAGATTTTTCAAAGGGATGTGTGGTACAATTTACAAGTTTATACAAAAGCAAATATAATCTCAGAATCAGTCCTTTTCAGGGTCTGAAAATGCATTTAATATTGTGTTTAAATGCTTTTCTACTTGTGTGCATGGGTTTGTTGTATCTATCATGTGCCTTCTGCAATATGTATTAAATCAACAGCACCATGAACACTCTTGTCAGTAGTATAGTAAGTGTTTGGGTGATTAATATGCAGGTCTGAAACCTCCCTCTATTCTGCAAATGCTTCTGTTAATTTTCTTTCCTTTCTTTTCTTTGTTGGGTACCCAGAAGGATTTTTTCGTCGGAAATACACATTTACAGATAACGCAAGAGTGTTATCAATCTGAAGCAGGCTTTTCTTGCCTTGCATTCTCTATTATTTTGTGAAATACTTCAGAGGATTCAAAATGGTCCAGACTAAGTAGCGGAAGATTATTGGGGTAGTTTGTGTAAATCGCCACACAAGGAGTGTAAACAAAGCACCCATGAGCGATTAGATTTCTCTTACTTATTTGTCAGACTCAGCAGTCTTGCATAAAGTATGTCCGGACAAATAACTGTTTTTTGTGCCCTACTTTACATATGTATAGTAAAGATCATGCTTATTGTTGAAATGGTATTGGCTTTTTTATATCTGTTGATAACCTGACAAATGTGTTATTCCGTTTCGCTACATAACCTTCAAGTCAAGATATGATTTGGTGAAAAGGAATGTTTTAGCATTTCTTGACACTAAAAATCTGGTGACTTAGGCTCACAGTCAGTACCTTCAGCATTTCATTCATTCAGCTATGGCCCCTCTCAAAGTGCTGAATTAGTATACAGAAGCTTTAAATGGATATTGGTTTTTCTAGGGGTTTTATTGTTTAAATATGAGGCAAAGAAAGTGTTAATGACTTAATTTCACTTTTAAAGAATGTCAGTGATTTTCTTTAAACACAACCTTTTTTGTAGAGCACAAAATTATTGTTGTAAACAAAAGAGGTGCCAATCAGAGTACTTTTCACCAGGCAACTATTAGAAGTCTGACAGTAGAAAAGGTTACAACAGTGGGAAGGTGCATGGGAAATGGGCTTGATACTGGAGCTCAAGGGAAGAGCCATATTGTGCTACTTGAACACAAACTGCTAGAGCAGAACTAGTTATTACATGCTGATTTTATCTTATCAGGACAGACAGTAGTTTGTGCTGAAGGACTTGATGCCAGAAATTTAAGTATGCCTTATGTTTATTTCTTGGAAATAATGCCAAATGCAGACGTCTGAGCCCCTCTATCTCAGCAGGATTCTGGACCTCCCTACAGCATGGCCCACGCTGTAATGGAGCGGGGAACTAGAAAGGCTACGTCTATGGCTTGGATCACCCTCTGCGCGCGTTCTTATAATTTGCGTTTCCTTTTTTACTGCTTCTGTCACCATTTTTTTTTGTCTATGGCTTTGCCAGGTTAAACTGGAATTATGCATCGTGTGCAGGCTTGCTGTGGATAGAATTGGCCTTGTAATTCAAAGACAGTTACCCGCAGAGCTGTAAGGCAGTTGCCACCAAAAGAAACTGTTACATCCATTAAACACAGGAAAGGTTTTATTCAAAACATCTTGACCTTTACAAAAAATTGACAGGTGGTCTTCTGTCATATAACTGAACAAAAACACAATCTCAAGAAATGTTATTTAAGAACAAAAATAATCTATGATTTACCTGAACACTAAACTGTACATCTTTTAATAACCTTCATAAAAGTGTCTTCTTTTGTATTCAGTCTTATTTTTTGTAGGATCTCTTTCAGATCTTGCATTTAGGTTTGACCACTGTGTACATTTCCTCTCCATTATTTGCAGTCTGAATCTGAACATAATTATTAAATGTTAATACAAATCATTTCAGCTTCTTTCATTAACTTTTCACTGTTGTGGTAGCTTGGAAGACTAATATACAGTCACCTGCCATTTAGCATAAAAAGCTAATACTCAGTAATGATAATTAGCAAGTGATAATAATATGTTTGCCTTGATAAGAAAACCTAGTAAAGATGTTTTTGATTCAGTGAAACCTAGTAAAACTAGTAAAAAGGGGAAGTTTTTTAAGTTCCTTAAGTTCAAGCGTATACAATATTCAGACTCTGAACATCTGCTAATGCTCTGTCCCAAAGTGACAGTTAAACAAATTGCTCTCATTTTTCTTTCATTTAATGCTAGCCACATATTCAGACTGTTTTGTTCCTAAATAGATATTATGTCACATACCTGATTCACTTTGATCATGTCCGTAGGAGAAAATCATTGCAAATTAAATCACCTCAATTTGAAATTACTGTCATTTGGTTATAGTGTAATATTTGTTTTCCCCAATTTTCAGTTTTCTATGGGTACATAATTAAAGCATACTTAAATTTCAACAATAGCATTACCTAGGAAGCATAGAATTCATTGTTTTTATATTCGGCTATGTTTTGCACATGTAATTGCAAAAGAAGAGATGAACTAGAAATAAACATTGAAAAAGTAGGTGAATGTTAGTGGTATTCATCATAAAGAACAAAGGAATCAGGTGGCTTCCTGAATCAAGGAATAGTATTCCCAACATTTTTACAAACCTGTTTAAGCAGTCTAATTTCAGTTCACTGACACTTTTGACTATCTTTTCATCACATATCTAAGTACTAAAAAGTAATTATGTGAATAATATGACTGTTTAATAGAAAAATGATTTAAATTTACTTAAAATCCATTCACAAATTATTGAGACTGGCTATTCAATATAATGAATGTAGGAATAAGTAAAGATTAATTGCATCTATGCCACCTAAAATAGTTGTTTAATACTGTATGGTCAGATTTTCACAGATTCAAGTACATTTACACTGCTTCTTTCAATATAGAATTATAACCAAACAAATCCAGAATGTGTACATTTAAATGTGTATTTAAGATTAAATGTTTTTTTATGTTTTTTTTATTTAAGTATTTTACATGGAATATATCCAATATAATTACAAATGCCATCAAAAAAATATGATGAAGCTCTTAAATATAACTTACACTATTGTGATGTTGATAAGAGTTAGTATTTAAGGGGGTCAAGCACAAAAAGAAGAACAGCCTGAAGAAAGTTTTAATATCAGTTCTTTCAGATATCATTAAGTTGTTTTCTTCCATGGTAGTACACTATTGCTTTTTATGACCGTATGTCAGAATAGACATCAATACAACATACTGTATGTACACCGTAGTGTGAAAACATACAAAACTATATAGGGTTGATGTGTGGTGCATATGCAATCCTACAAAACAAAAGTCCTGGAAAATTGTCAATATAGGTAAATTATCTGTTTTATTCTATTGATGGTCTTAATATACAATCAGTGCAATTGATGTAAAAGAACTGTACAATAGGAGATCCTTAGAGGTGGGAGACAATGACAGCAATACTGGGGTCTCTGTTATCCTCTCAAACACATCCAGTCATCTACATATCAAGCATCCTCTTTCGGGAACCATCTGGCCATTTCCTTGTTATTTTGTTTGTGAACTCCTCACCTCTTGCACTGACCGGAAGTGGAACAAAAAACACAGCTTTACATTTGCACTCTGCAAATTCCTGACCAGCTGTATAAACTACCTCTGTCGTTGTCTTAAAATGCTGAAAGCATCATTTATAGCCAACTGGCACTTCTCCCATTTCTTGTGCTAGTTTATCTGTGCTGTTTATTTTATCCTGCGCCATTGCATTTTGTATACATATCATGTCTCTGCCGGCTGTTACCAAACGGGAGAAATACTGTACATTTTGAAAATGTGGCATTCTGCTTCCCTCTTCACTCTAAACTTTTGACACTTTATTTTACGCTTTACTTCATTAGATCATTACAATATACAGAAAAAACAGACAAGAGGAGGCCATTTGGCCCATCTAGCTCATTTGGATGTTAGTAGTTAATTGATTTATCTTTACTTTATCTGTGTATTTTTTTTAATCAGCTAGAGTTCATTTGAGCCACAACCAATAAAAGACAGGGTTATAGAAAATGATTCCTGAATGACACCGAACAATGTGAAATCAATCAAGCTTTTTGTTTCAATGTACTACTGGTGCCTCTCCAATCACCATTTCCACCCACATTATCCTTTAACATGCAGCCAGAGCCAGGTAGAGTTACTGTACCTTCTCATACTGACCATTGGATACATCCTCCCTGTTGTCCTACAAAACACTGAATTTCATTTTACCATTTCAGTAATGCTTAAAAATATATATGATAATTTCTTAATTGCTATCCACTTTGTTTATATGGGCATCATTTGTGACATTTGTAGTAACTTCAGTTGTTAAACTTCCTTAACTACTGACTTGGGAAAGTTACAGAACCTACTTAGTAATCAAAAGAGATGAGTAGAGTGAAGTCTTTGTGTAGCAGCTCTTGTTGAAAATAGCTTTAATTTATATTAACTCATTAACATATTTGTTTTTTTTTACAGTGCAGTGTTTTCTGATTGTTATTGACTAATTTAAAACTTTGGAAACTGTGAACATCTAAAATTAGCTTTCTGCTTTAAAAACCCTTGCTCTCTGCTTGAAGACAGAAGCAATTGGAAATTTATCGAAAGCTCTTTTGTGTCCCTGTTCTAAAGACCATTTAGTTCATGAGATCCAACCGATGTGTTTAAAGATATACAGTATACTGT